CCTGCTAACCAGACGGCTGGCGGTTCAAACCCACCAGCCACTCCTCGGAAGGAAGGTTGGGCAATCCTACTTCCGTAGTGATAACTGCCTCAGAAACCCAAGGAGGGGTCGCTATGAGTCGGGGCCGACTTCGACGGCACATAACAACAACAACAACAATGTATGTCAACCAAGCATTATGTCAGACATAGTGCTAAGTACTTTATGGTTATGATCTTATTTGATCCTCATAATTCTATGAGGTAGGTAGGATGATTGCTCCATTTTCCAGATAAGGTATCTGAAGCACAGAGAGGTTAAGGTACTTGCCTGGGAGCACACAGCCTATGCTCTGAACAACTACTGAAGTCCAGGGGCCAGCCTACCTGGAAGATGCATCCAGATATTACTCTCTGTATCACAACACTAAACCAGTTGGAGTTTCATTTTAGACAAGACAAAAACAACTTTCTCTTGGTGATGTAGAGTGAAGAATGAAATTGCTTATATATGTATCATTAATTTTGGACTGTTCACATCTTTTACCACCCATACAAAATCAATATTTTTTAGTTTTTTTTTTTTTTCTTTCAATTTGCTTTTCTTACTTGTCTCTTCCAACATAAGCAACAGAAGACTTTTCCTACTCACCTCTGGCAACCGATGACATGCTCCTAAGATTCTCTTGAAGGAGGGCTGGATCATTGTTGGTGTATCTCACGTGAGCAGTGATGGTGAAATGGGATCTGAGTTTATTTTCTACAACCCTCCACAACTCATCCACTCGATCCCAGGAGGAAGCCCCTGAATGGCCTCCAAACACCCCAATATGTTTCCAGCCCAGGTACTGCAGAGTTTTCTGGAGCACATCACCAGTTTCCTGCATGGGTGGCACGAGTTTCACACAGGTGTCATACAAGACGTGGTTCTCTAGTTTTGCTGTTTGTCCAACAAAGTCAAACATGGGGATGTTCCACTCAGAAGCCAGCAAACCAATAACCTTGAAAGTAACCACAAACATGCTTTTCTATAATTGAGTTCACACAACACTCAAACCCCATAGTAAAGTATGTGCATAGACTATGAATTCAGTGAGTCTATGGGTCATACTGGGTCATACCAGGCCCTGTCTTTTGGAATATTGACGTATTAGGCCCAATTTGAGGATTCAAACTCAGAGGAAAAGGATAACAATGACAAGCATTTATCAAGCTCTTGCTATGTGCCAAGCCTTCTACTAAGAACTTACATATATCATCTCAAGTTTTAACAGTTCTCTACAGTAGGTATTATTGATACCCTATTTTATAGATGAAAATATGGAGGCATGAAACTATAAGTTACTTGCCTAAGGTCACAGAGCTAGCAAATAGTAGAGCCAAGATTGGAACTCAGGTTCCAGAGCCCACCCTCATAAACACTGCTCACTCTCTGAGACCTTCTTTCTTAACTCATTCCTTATTCATTTCTTATTCATTGTTCACTAGGAGCCAACTATTTACAATGAACTTTGGAGAACTTGCATTTAAAGGAGCTCTGGTAGCATAGTGCCTAAGGCACTTGACGGCTAACCAGAAGGCTGGTGGTTCAAATCCACCAGCCACTCCTCGGAAGGAAGGTTGGGCAATCCTACTTCCGTAGTGATACTGCCTCGGAAACCCAAGGAGGGGTCGCTATGAGTCGTGGCCGACTAGACGGCAAATAACAACAACAACAACAACAATACATATTAAAGTGGCTCTGGAGTTAAACAAACCCTTCAAGATTTATAGACAGTAGACATATAATGGTTCAGAGAAGAAAGAAATTATTTCTGGTTTGGGAACTAGAGATGGGAAGATGGAGATAAAGGGATAAAAAAGGCTTCATGACATTTGAGCTTGACTTTGAAGAATGGGAAGATTTGGAGCTACAAATGTGTCCAATGGGGAACCCCAGGAAAAACCAAGATTCAAAATCGTATGTTACTTAACACCACAGTGTGCCAATGTTGGTGACAGTTTGACAGTTATTTTTGAGAGTAAGAACTGTGATAGTCCTTCCTATTTAGACTTCCCATCAATACCTCTCAGATGATGCCATACTCAAACATGACAACAAACTGAATCCCATTAGCCAACAAATGCAACCCATTCATTTCCCTCATTTTCTTGCTCTAGTTTATTGCAATCTGTCATATTTTGCTTTTTCCCATTTGTCTTCACCATCACTGAATAATTTATTATGTATACCAAAGGGAAACATAAACAAATGACAGTTTTCTATTTAAAACCAAACATTAGTTTCCTTTTTAGTTTTTCCAAGTCATATGGCTGACAATGTTAATGTGAATAATAATAAGTCTACAACATCAGCCTCAAGTTCACACAACCAACAAAAGGAGAAAGAGGGTGAGTGAACTAACAATTACAGTTTTGAAAGGTTTCCTTTAAACAGAATGTTAACAGTTCTAATTACATGGTCTAATTACACCTAAAAAAATGGTATCCAGGAACTACCCAGTTATTATTATATTAATGCCGTTACCTTTAAGATCACCCCCTTCCAATGGAAACTCAGCCAAAGTTTCTAAAAGGCTATATACTCTACCTCTGCTGCTTCTGGGCATGCCGGTCCAAACAGAGCAGAAATCTGTTCTTTCTGGACCTGGTTGATGAAAATACTAAGGGACTCCTTGGTGCTGCAGCCCGAGTTGGTGTAAGTGAATTCCCAGCTGAAGTTTTCCAGGTGAGCCAGCTCTGAATTGACCTTGTCAATGGCCATCTGGAGACCCGCACCGAGCCTTTGCACACTGCATGGATGGGAGATGTTCCAGGGGGCCTGGAAGCCCACAGTGAGTTTAGTGGCCTCAAGCCAAGTCACCAGTATGCTAGCAAAGAGCATCAGAAATAACATTGGGTGGGCATCCTGGCACTTAACCCATAAACAAAGCCCAGAGCTGCGTGGGGCCTTAGGACCCATCTGGGAAGCTATAGAAAGCATCAATCACAAGTGTCACAGCAGAATTATGAGCAGCTCAGCTTCCTGACCACTCAGGCCAGAAGCTTATAAGACAGTACCCAAGTTCCCTAAGGACCACAGCTTGCTTTCTACCCAGTACAGTTAATTAATCAAAACCCTCCCTTTTCAGCGTAACTTCTAACACATTCTAGAAGAAGCAGAAGGAGTGGAAAGAGGCTGAGGTAGGGAGAGAGGCCCTTGTTATTAATCCAGTGACACCATTACAAGTTATCGAACCGTCTGTGCCTCTTCATCACCATTGATAGCCTGTGAGGAATTCGGGCCCCACTGCATACTAGTTTTGTGACCTAGGACATGTTATTTCCTCTCTTTAAGCTTTCATCTTCTGATCTGTAAAATGAAGATAAAACTGTAATGGAATCTTCCTCAAAGTGGTAGGTTGCTGTTGTTAGGTGCCATTGAGTTGGTTCTGACTCCTAGCAACTTGTACAACGTTGCCCAGTCCTCAGCCATCCTCACAATCATGGTTGAGCCCCTTGTTGCAGTCACTGTGTCAGTCCATCTCATTGAGGGTCATCCTCTTTTTCTCTTACCCTCTACTTCACCAAGCATGATGTCTCCCCCAGGAATTCATCCCTCCTGATAACATGTCCAAAGTAAGTGAGATGAGGGAGGGTTGCAAATTTGACTGTGACTCTGAATACTGCCTCAGAAGCAGGAGCTATCTATCCCCTTTTTTCATGTTCCACTGTCACTCATAAAGACTGTTCACACCACAAAAAAAAAAAAAAGTAAGTGAGATGAAGTCTCACCATGCTCGCTTCTAAGAAGCATGCTAGATGGACTACTTCCAAGACAGGTGTGTTTGTTCTTCTGGAAGCCCAGAGTATATTCAATATTCTTTGTCAAGAGTAATTCAAATACACAGTTGGGCTTCCTTGTTCATTGTCCAGCTTTTGCATGCACAGAGGTAATTGATAATACCATGACTTGGGTCCGGTGCACCTTAGTCCTCAAAGTGACATCTTTGCTTTTCAACACTTTAGAGAAGTCTTTTGCAGCAGATTTCCCTGATACGGTCACTATGAGTTAGAATCAACTGGATGGCCATGGGTCGAAGTGGTATGGTAAGGATCAAAGGAGATGATACAATTACAGAGCTTGACACAATGCCTGGGCAAAGAGAGTCACCATATAAATGTTAGATTTGATGATGATGATAATGGAAATGGGAATGACTGATGGTATTGATCATAGTAATAGTGATAACAATTATCCCTTGATGAATCCATCTTATAGAATTTTTTCTAGAATAAATGAGATAATGGTCATGAGAGGGCTTACCAATGTTAAAATAAAAATCATATTAAGTCAGTAATAGAAATTGATTGAAGTTTATTGAATATATGATTTGCAAATCAGGGTAACATTTCAACTCAACATTGAAAAGCCAAACTCACTGCCATCAAGTTGATTCAATTCATAGCAATCCCCCCCCTTGGATTTCCAAGGCAGTATCTCTACGGAAGTAGATTGCCCAATATTCCTTCTGAGGAGTGGCTGGTGGGTTTGAACCACCAGCCTTCTGGTTAGCAGTCAAATGCCTTAGACACTACACCACAGTCAAAAATGTTCTGAAAATGAAAAAACCTTCAAAGACTCTTAGACCTCAGCCCATCAACTTCTTCATGGAAACAGGGGCAGAACAGTGTTTTCATAGCAATATATGTTAAAACACAGCTTCTATTCTGACTGTGGAGTTTCTGTTTCTCAAAACTGGCTGCACAAAGATAATTCTCTGAAAACGTCCAATGCCCAAGGCACAATGGTCTCCACTAAGCTGACTAGGCTACTGTTTGACTTAAAGGTGACTTTAGAAAACCAGTTTCTTTAAAGCTCAAGGTTCAAAAGCACACCTAAGGGCAAATAGCCTGGGAAGGTCACCCAAACCACATGGACCCTGAAATCTAGATTCCAAGAGAATTAATACCATTTCTCACCAACAACCTGGAGCAATAACAAGGGAATACCAGCCCTCCTTCTGCACAGGTCTGGGCAAAGAGCTAGGGCAGACCTTTATTGTATACACTATTACAGGGGTGTCAGGACCCTCGGGGGGCCATTGTTATCTCCAGGTAAGATGGCCTAGTCATCAGCTGGACAAACCCACATCAGTATAAAGGGCTTGACTCCCATCTCCCATGGACTTTCTGTTGGGTCCCTTCTGGCAGGGAAAAGGTTGGCATCTCACATTCAACTCAGGATTGTGTATTTCACCACAATAAACTTGCTATAAATCTCAAAGTCTGATCTGAGGACTCCCTCATCAGTCTCTCTGGATATTTAAAAATATAGAGTCCATCTGCAAAACACTGCACAACATGGATGAACTTGGAGGACATTATGCTGAGTGAAGTAAGTCAATCACAGAAGGACAAATATAGTATTCGTTCATTATTGTAAAAAAGTCAAGAAAAGGTTTATATATGGAAGGAAACTTTCTTTGTTGGTTACCAGGGGTGGAAGGGGAGGGGAGATAACACTGCAAAAAAAAAAAAAAAAAAAATTGACCCATGTCACTTTAGTTTTGTGTATTTCACAAAATACATAAATCATATTTCAATAAAATATATTTAAATACATAGATACATAGATAGATTCCAGGGACCCACACTAGACCCTCTGAACCAGAATGTCTCAAAATTGCCCCAGGAATCTGAGTTTTGACAGGCCCTTGTCTATCATTACGTGCCTGAAGTTTTGAGACACTGGGACAGCCTGAAGTGAGAGGGGAGGAAGCCCAGCCAACAGTTGTTTCCTACCTACCTTCCCTTATCAACAAGCCCCCAGTGGGATCGCCAAGCCTCAGCCCCAGCTTGTCTCAGAAGGCCATTTGCAAGCTGGGGCTAGAAGCTGCTTTTCTCCAAAGCAAAGGTACCACAACTACTTCCTCACTGGGCTTTGGTTTCTCTCATTCCTCTGCAGGATAGCTTAAAGGCAATTTGCAAAATCATCTGTGAGTTCAAAAACTCCCTCATTCAAATCATGGGCAGAATTGTTTGCAGCTATCTTTTTGGCTCAGATGCTGACGAGGTATATCAAGCATTGGGAAAGCAGTTAAATCTATGCCCGCTTTCCTCAGCTTCAAAATGAACATAGTAATGTCCCACTCAGAAGGCTGTTATAAAGATTATGTAATTACTTAGCCAAGTGTCTTACATTCAGTGCAAACTTAACAGAGGAATATTAATTCATTGTCATTCATATTCAATGACATTTAATTTATATTCAATGTCATTGCATAAATCATGATCTCAAAGTTAGGATGCTGGGAACAACATTTTACAGTGCACTCACTCTCTGTCCCCTTTCTTGTATTCTCATTCTAGGAAATTTTTTATTTGTTTCTTGGTATGTGTGGTTCACCCTTCTCCTGGGAATCTTCAAGGCAAAGTGACTGTGTCCCTCTTTGGACCCTCAGATCTACCACACTGTTTGGCCCTTAAGCACACAAATTAATATTATTTATAATAAGTACCTTGTATTCTTTTGTGCTTACAAGTGAGCATAGTCAAAACCAGAAGAAAATACTAACGATGTTCAGTGTTGGTGAGAATTTAAGAAACAGACATACATTTCTGCTAAGACTGTTCATTGATAACAATTGTGAAATAAGCATCCAAAATCTTAAAAATATGGACATCTTTGGCTCAAAAAGGACAATTTTAGGGACTATCCTAAAGGAACACAGTTATATGATAGGAATGAACCACAGTGCTATTTCTGATAGCCAAGCACTGGACCCATCTTCACGCCCAACAGTCCCAGGGAGTCCACTCTGACTCATGTGGCTCCATGTGCATCAGAGTAGTTTTCAACATATGGTTTCCAGTGGCTGATTTTTCAGAAGTAGATCACCAGACCTTTCTAAACCTTCAAACTTTTGATTAGCAGCTGAGCATGTTAACCATTTATACCACCCCAGGACTCCACATCCAAAAATAGGGTCCTGGAAAAATAAATAATAAAAATAAGACCTAGTACTAAGCTAACATTATCCAATACAGTGCAGGAAGACAAGCCCCATAGGTCAGAAGGCTTTCAAAATATGACTAAGAAAGAGCTTCATCATCAGAGTAGGACCAACCTTACTAATATGGATGGAGTAAAGCTTTCAAGACCTCCATTTGCTGATGTGGCATGACTCAAATTGAGGAGAAACAGCTGCAAACATCCATTAACAGGAACATGGAATGTACAAAGTATGAATTTGGAAGATGGAAGGAATACACAGAGTCAGTACCAATTAGAATTGGTCAGTGTTCACCCATTTCAGGAGGTGACATATTATCAAGAGCCAATGGTTTTGAAGGAAGAAGTCCAAGCTGCACTAAAGGAAGTGGCAAAAAACAAGGCTCTAGGAATTGATGGAATACCCATTGAGATATTTCAACAAACGGATGCCCCGCTGGAAGTACTCACTCGGTTATGCCAAGAGATTTGGAAGACAGCTACCTGGCCAACTGACTGGAAGAGATCCGTATTTGTACCCATTCCACAGAAAGGTGATCCCACACAATGTGGACAATGTCAAACAATATCATTAATAACACACGCAAGTAATATCTTACTGAAGATAATGCAAAAACGGTTGCAGCAGTATATTGACAGAGAACTTCCAGAAGTACAGGCTGGATTCAGAAGAGGACATGGAACAAGAGATATCATTGTTGATGTCAGATGGATCTTGGCTGAAAGTAAAGAATACCAGAAAGATATTTACTTGTGTTTTATTGACTATGCAAAATCATTTGATTGTGTGGATCATAACAAATTGTGGATAACATTAAGAAGAATGGGAATTCCAGAACACTTAATTGTACTCATGAGGAACCTGTACATAGATCAAGAGGCTGTTGTTTGAACAGAACAAG